ATGAAGACTTGGGAGTCAAATGTGGAGGTGAAACCCTACCAAATCAGAGAAGTCAAGAAGCAACCAGTTGACCTTTCTTTTTGACTGGAGACCCAGCAAGAGAACTTTCTCTCTACTAGTCCTAAACCAAAATGATTGAGAATTCTCTAAATCTCTCCCTACTCCTTTCTGTGTGTCTTTCTATCCATATTCCTGGCTCCTCCTTCCTCTCTATCGTTAATTTTCTTCAGTGAGTTACTGGCTCTGCCCCCTGATCTAAGGTTAATTTTTATTAAAACAATCTCAGAGTTTCAAATTGTGATCAAATATCCCACAACACCATTTGCTGAAGATGCTTTTTTTTTGCATTGTATGTTTCTAGCTTCTTAATAAAAAAATCTGGTTTCCTTAAGTAGGCAGATTAACGTCTGGGTCTTCAATTTGTTTCCATTGACCAACCTGTCTGTATTCATGCCAATACCATGTGGTTTTTATTACTATTGTTCTGTATTATAGTTTGAAATCAGGGATAGATATGGTGATACTTCCAGAAGTTCTTTTATTTTACAGGATTGTTATAGGTATCATGGGTTTTTGCTTTTCTATATGAAATTGAGTACTGTTCTTTCAATTTCTTGGATTCAGTTTGTGAGTATTTTTATTGAGTATTTTTGTAACAATATTCATGAGGGAAATTGGTCTGTAATTATCTTTCCTTGTTGAATCTTTGTGTGGTGTGGGTATCAGGGTGACTGTGGCCTCATAAAAAAGAATCTGGCAATGTTCCTTCTGTTTCCATTTTGTGAAATTATTTGAGGAGTATTATTGGTATTAACCCCCTTAAATCTGGTAAAGTTCTGTACTAAAACCATCTAACCTAGGGCTCTTTGGGGGGCAGGTATTGGGAGACTTTCAGTGACAGCTTCTATTTCCTTAGGGGGTTATAGGTCTAACTAAATTGTTTATCTGATTTTAATTCAATGTTGGTAAGTGGTATCAATCAAGAAATTTGTCCACTTCATTTAGTTTGTACCATTTTGTGAAACACAAGTTTTTGAAGCATGACCTTGTGATTCTCTGGATTTCTTCTGTGTCAGTTGTTATGTTCCCCTTTTCATTTCAGATTTTGTTCATTTGGATATTCTCTATCTTCCTTCTAGTTAGTTTGGATAAGGGTTAGCCTATCTTGTTGATTTTCTCAAAGAATCAACTCTTTGTTTTATTGATTTTTGTATTGTTCTCTTTATTTACATTTTATTGATTTCAGCCCTAACTTGGATTATTTCCTACTATCTACATCTCTTGTGTATGTTTTCTTCTTTTCCTTCTTGAGCTTTCAGGTGTACAGTTAGGTTTCTAGTATGAGATCTCTCCACATACCCTATGAAGGCACTTAGTGCACTTAGAACTTTCTTCTTACCACTGCTTTCATTGTGTCCTATAAGTTTGGGTATGTTGGGTATTCATTTTCATTGAATTCTAGGAACTTTTAAATTTGTTTCTTTATTTCTTCTTTGATCCTGTTTTGATTCAGTAGGGAGTTGTTCAGTTTCCATGAGTTTGTAGGCTTTCTGTTGTTTCTGTTTTTGTTGAAATCCAACTTTAGTCTATGGTGGTCTGATAAGGTACAGGGGTGTATTTTTATTTTCTTGTATCTATTAAGTCTTTCTTTGTGACCAAGTGTATGTTCAACTTTGGAGACTGTTATGTGAAGTGCTGAGAAGGGGGTATATTCTTTTGTGTTTGTGAAATGTTCTGGAGATTTCTGTTAGGTCCCATTTGTGTCATAACATGTTAACTCTATTATTTTGCTGTTTAGTTTTTGCATGGATGACCTGCCCATTGGTGAGAGTAGGTAGTGAAGTCCCCCACAGTTAGGATGTGTGGTTCAATGTGTGATTTAAGCTTTAGCAATGTTTCTTTACAGTGTGGGTGCTCTTGTGTTTTGGTCATAGATGTTCAGAATTAAGATATCATCTTGGTGGATTTTTCCTTTGATGAGTATGAAATGTCCTTCTCCATCTCTTTTAATTAATTTTGGTTAGAAGTCTATTTTGGTATGTGTGTGTTTTCCTTCTTGGAGTTTTGCTGGTTTGACATTATTTATTTTCTGTATTTCTGTGGGTGAGTGTAATTAACATCTGTTGTTTGTAGTTTTCTTCCTATTACATTCTGTAGGACTGGATTTGTGTATAGATATTGTTTAAATTTGACTTTGTCATGAAGTATCTTGTTTTCTCCACCTATGGTGATTGAAAGTTTTGCTGGGTACAATAGTCTCAACTGGCACCCATGGTCTCTTAGAGATTACACTTCATCTGTTCACGCCCTTCTTGTTTTTAGTGTTTCCATAGAGAAGTTGGGTGTAATTCTTATAGGTATGCCTATATATGTTTCTAGGCATTTTTTCTTTACATCTTTAACATTCTTTCTTTGTTTGGTATGTATATTGTTTCATTATTATGTGGTGAGGTAATTTTTCTGGTCCAGTCTATTTGGTGTTCTGTGAGCTTCTTGTACCTTTATAGGCATGTCCTACTTTAGGTTGTCAACATTTTCTCCTATGATTTTGTTAAATATATTTTCTGGGTCTTTGTGCTAGGATTCTTCTCTTTTTTTCTATTCCTATTAGTGTCAAGTTTAGTCCTTTTATAATGTCCCAGATTTCCTGGAATTTTTGTGTTAGGAATTTTTTAGATTTAACATTTTTTGACCCATGAATCTATTTTCTTTATCATATCTTCAATACCTAAGATTCTTCTATCTCTTGTGTTCTGTTAATGATACTTGCATCTATAGTTCCTGTTCATTTACCCATACTTTTCTATTTCTGAAATTCCCTCCATTTGTGTTTTCCTTATTCCTTCTATTTCCATCTTCATGTCTTGTAAGGGGAAGATTCCTCTCTAGGGGATCCTTAGTCTCAAATATCCAGCAGCTCATTCTCAAATTACTATACAGAGGCTTAATATTTCTTATAAATGCTCAACCAATAGCTCAGGCTTATTATTAACCAGCTCTGACACTTTAAGTTAATTCATATTACTTTTCTCAATATGGCATGCCCATCTTGCTTTCTCTGCATTTGGCTGGCACCTCCTGACTCTGCCCTTCTACTTCCCATTATCCTTAGTTTGGTCACTCTGCCTATAATTCCAGCTGGATACTGGACAATAAGTGTTTTATTAATCAATTTGAGTGACAAATCTTTATAATGTCCAAAAGGATTATTGTACAACAATGTCATGAACAGTTTTTTCTTGGCGCTTTTGGAAGTCCTCAATGAATTTATTGATTTCTTTCCATTTCAGTTAATCTTTTTCTCAATTTTTTAAAAGCATGTTTTTTATTTTCTCTTTAAGAACTCTATCATATTCACAAAGTTGATGGTTTTAAGATCTTTGTGTGTGTGTGTGTTTCAGCTATGTTGAAATGTTCAGGTCTTGCTGTTGTTGGATAGCCAGGCCCTGGTGGTACCACATTGCCCTTTCTGTTATTGACTGTATTCTTATACTGGCCTTTAGGCTTCTGGGTTTGGGATGATTTTAAGTTTAGGTATTGATTCCTGAGTTTTCATTGTTGGGTTAGTGTTTTGTTCCTAGGTTTCTGTTTTCTCTCTGGTCTGACCTTAATGGCCTAGAGTTTTAATGAGTCTTTGAATCCAGTAGGATGTTTCCACTGTTTTGTTTTTTTTTTTTGGGGGGGGTGGGGGTTCTGCAAGACCTCTGGAGACTTGGATGCTAACATTGGCTTTGTGATTTCAAGTACCTATGCTGCCTCTGAGGTGTTGGGTAACTGCTTGGCCTCTGGAATTTCTAGTATGGTATGGCTTCCAGTACAGCAAAAGTTTCTTGCCAAAGTTGTGGGCTGGGATATGGAGCTCAGGGAATGGGGTACATTTGGGGGCTGTTCAGCTAGGCTTATGGAGTGTTAGTTGGCTGTAGGCAGTGTTTTTACCTTGGTTGCTTAGAACCGGTTTGGACTTGGTTATAGCAGAGTTTTCTACATTAGTTGTTGGATGGAATATCAAGCCCAGGGGAAGAGGTGCAGTTTGGGGTTGTTAGGTAAGCTTGAAGGAGTATTAGTGTGTAGTGGTTGGCATCTTACATGGGGTCCCTAGGTCCTGCCTGGACCCCAGTAAACCGGACAGAGTTGTGGACCTGAGTATGGAGCCCAGAAGAGGTCACACTTAGGCCCCTAGCTCCATCATGGTCCATGGTAAAGCAGAAGACTTCTGATAAAGTTTCAGGCTGGAATGTATAGTCCAGGGGAGAGTAAAACATTTGTTTTACATATAACTGTATGTAGGTTAGGATACACACAAAATATGTGCAATTTTATTATACGTTTGTATACATTCACATGCTTATATATGCATTTAATTATAATTATTATAAATCTATATGGTTATAGTATATATGATATAAATGTATAAGTTTATGTGTTATGCTAGGCTATAGTACATGCATATAAACATAAACTTAGCAAGTCATTTTTCTTAAATTATTATTATTTATTTAATATTTTTTCTTTCTGCAGCTCAACTCTTAACCATTCCTTCTTATTCTATCTTCCATTTAAGGCACAGTGAAGTACTTTATGTGAATTTTCCACTTAATATTCTCAAGATCATTTTGCTCAAAACCTGTCCTTGATGTATTTCTTTGCTTAACTTGGTTTTTGGATAATTTTGTTTCAAGACTCTTTGCAGTAATCACCAGCTCTTTGAAACGTCCCTTGAATGTATAACCTAGCTGGGAGCAATTTCTTTTGTCTAATTTTCTTTTCTATGTACAGACACAGGTTTAAAAATTAAATTTTCTCAGTCCTTGAATGCGCTATTAATTGCATGACATCAATGAGTCAGATTTTGTTTTGCCTCTTCCCACAGCAAGGAGAGTCATGTTAGTACTTGAGTCATACCAAGTCCCAGAACTGAGTTTCATTTACATATTGATGTCATCAGTCTACTGGAAATTTCCCTTTGAAAGTAATATAAATGTCAGGGTCAGAGAATCATATATCCAGAGTATGTGGGCAAAGAAGAAGCTTTGGTAATGCATTCTTCTAGCATTATTCTGCCTTTGGTATACAGTGCCCTGGCTACACGACAATCAAGCACTATTAGCCTTCTGGATTGTCTAATTGGCACCAGCTCTACAGGAACAAAAGGGAGCTGATCCAGGATTTCCAGAGTTAAGTAAGTGAGAGTATTTGGTCAGATCCTGGGACAGGTTCTCTTTCCATAGGTGATCATTTCTTTCATTCTTTCTTCTCCCTGTACTTTATGGAAGCCTCTCTGTCCCTAAATTCCCTGTCATTTGATCTACATCTGAAGAATAGTGCCATATAAGAAGTTAGAAGGGTTAAGTAATAGTTACCCGGTGGGGAGAAACTTTTCTCAAGTTTCCTTTGACAGCTGAAACTCAGTCTTGCAACACCAACTCTCAACAAACACTGGGATCACTTTCTGGAGTGTGGTTTGGTAAGGAATGAAGAAAGATATTCCTATTGATGTTATTTCTCAGAATAGATCTCAGTCCATAATATTGTTGTTGACCAGAATACCCTTTGTACATTATAGCTCATTGCAAAAAACAAAAATGATAAATATCTTATAGTGAGATATCCATGATGATTTTAAAGAAAGGGAAAAAAGACTTTAAGGAAAACACAAAGGAATTGCAGTGTTAGAGGAGATGCCATGTTAGTAGCATGGTATAATAGAATAGATACACTGTATTATACAAAATGTACAATGGCTGAATTTTGATGCAGCACTTAGCAAATCCAAAACTTTTGAGATGAAACCATAAGAATATCTCAAGTCAGCTATCTTTAAAACTCAAGAAGGATATTTTAGATGTACTATTGTGTTGCTGAAAACAAAGACATAGAATAAAGTGATGGAGAGGCACTGTTCGCTCAAGTTAGGAAACTCACCAGGATCCTATGGAGTTAAAGGTACACATCTTTTTTATGCTTTTATTCACTTTCTTGCTGAGACAAGTATCATTTATTTTAACTTGTATATTCCCTAAGTGGCATATTAATTTGTTGTCTGAATTCTTTAAAATATCAAACTCCTCCCTGTCACTGTGTACAGCCAGAGTCAGCCTGTTTGGTAGCATGCCCCACCCCCATACCTTAACTGGGCATGGGATACCCAAGTGCTTACCAAATCAACACTCTTAACCATGAGGAAAATTGTGTGCAGTTATCATCAGCAACCTAATGATGTAGGTGTACAGCAAGGGCTGTGTTAATGTCTGGGACATTTATACAAACGTGCCACTCTGGCAACCAGAGACTTCTCTCTCCACTCGATAGTTTGAGCAGAAGTAATTGCATCAATTCCTGTAAATTGCTACCTGATGTCTGCCCTCTCATTGTGGGATGGAAAGCCAGAGCTCTCTCCATGTGTGATGTGGCACAGCCAACCCCACAATCAAGGTAGAGGTGGTGTAAAAATAATAAAAACCCAGAGACAGATATTGGGATTCAAGTTAACGATCAGAAAAGCAAAGCAGCCAAACCACTAGAAAGTTCTCACCTCTACCAAGGCTAAGATGAAAAGGAGGAAAATCCTTTCTTCAGTATGACTGCAGACTGAATACCACATGAAATCTTGAGCTCCTGTCTTATATACCTCTATATTGCTGGGATTAAAAGTGAATGCCACCACTGTCCAGACTCTATGGCTAACTAGTGTGGCTGCTGGGATTGAGGGTGTGTACCACCACTTCCTACCCTCTATGGCTGTAGCTAGCTTTGCATTCTGATCTTCAAGCAAGATTTATTAGATTATAAACAGTATATCACCATAATAACCCCTTTTTGTCTAATACAAAAGGAAGGTTATAACTAATATAAGAAAAAACTATATATGATAAGTACAATAACTATATACAATATATAATGCAATAAATTCATCAACAATATCTAGTCCATTTGCATTTAACACATTCATAGAAAATACTCCATATCTCTCCTGTCTAGGTGGGTCCAAAATTTTGTACCTAATTTAATTTTTATCACAACTTGCATTACCATCCAAAGCTACCTGTTGATATCTCTCAACCTTATACACTTTATACCTCTTTAGTGGGTTTTTTTTCTGAGTCTGTTAAAAAGGAAAAATTATAACTATCTAGTCTTCAATCCCCTCAGAGACCTGATGAGGAAATAATATTAATTAGGTAAGCAGGAAGTAGGAGCAAGCAACTTCCAAAAACTATGAAAAATGACAGAAACACCTGGCTGCCTGTATAGTCTCCCAAGGTTCCTCTGCAATGTTAGGGCATGCATCTTCAGCATACAGGTCTAGCATATCTGAAAGACTTTTCTGTGAAGCAAGAATTTTGAAGGACTATCTCACCTTGTCTTGGCAAGATTGGGCAGTCACTCTCATTTGTGTCTTGCTTGTAGAATTTGGATAGTATACTGTCAGCAGTTGAGGCAATGGCACTTTCTTGCCCAGTAGCTTACGTTTGCCAGAAAGAACAGACTCTATGGCTAACTAGTGTGGCTTCTGGGATTAAAGGTGTGTGCCACCACTGCCTGGCCTCTATTGCTATGGCTAGCTTTGCATTCTGATAAACAATATATAACCACATAGAGCTGATTTCCTCAGCCCCTGCTTGTGATGCTCTGGCCATCAGCCAAGATTCCAGGGACTGATTCTCATGCCGCAGCAGCAACAAAAAATGTGGAAACTGTGCAACTAGATACTAACACTGGGCCATACAGGAAGAACCAACTCATTTCTCAGGATGCATCAAGCTCTGGACTCACAGTTTCGACAATGTTTTAGGTTCTTGGACCAGCACTAAGGGCATTAGTTTCATGATTCTGCCTCACAGATCTTATATCTTAGATGCTGTCCCACAGGGGAGTGGCTTGTTGTAGGCCGAGGGAGATGAAACATGGAAGTGCTGCATATGAATAAACCCTAGAAATACCAGCTGCATCTCCTAGAGAGTTGTGTGCAGTCCCTGAAGTTTTCTTATTGTGGTAAGTGCTTTGTGGGTACTTGACAATAAAACCTCTTCATGGCAGATTTAACACTGATCCAGTGTAATCTGGTCTAAGGAATTTTCTTCAGGGCTTGGCTGGGATATCTTTATGGATTATAACGACATAGTCACTGGTTCTGGGAACATAAAAATTACTATGTATGAAATCTTATTCTGAAAATGCTATATTTTTCATTTATAGTTTAGTTGAGTGAAATATTTTGAATTTAGAGGACTAGGAAAGTCATAACTTTAAAAGAAAAGAAAGAAAAACAAAACACCCAGAGTGACATGCTTCCACACATTGACCTGAAACTGCTAAAGAGGAGTCAAGTCCCAGTCTATCTGCAGTTACCTATCTACTCACTATGAACAAATGGAGCACCACAACCACAAAGACAGAGGATGGGGTGTGTGGTGGAAGAGGATATGTGGTTCCAGCTCCCTCACTCTGGGGGCATTTGCCACTTATGTTTGTGTCTTACCTAAGTGAAAACCTTTCCTTCCTGCCCCTTGGGGTTCACCTTGTTTTGAATACTTTATAGTGCAGTGATGTCACCAGTGAATTTGTGTCCTTATTTTACATCTCCTAACATTATTCTTTGTACTTTTATTGGTGAAAATTTTGTATAAAATTTTTTATTATTTTTATTTTAGAAACACTCTTATTTACATATCCATCCCCCCATTCCCTGGTCCTCCCATCCTCCCATACTCCCCACCAACACCCCAACCTAACCCCCACCCCCTCCTCATGGATAGTGAGGCCCTCCATGGGGGACCATCAAAGTTCCTCACATCATCTGGGGCCCAGGCCCTCCTTCTAGTATCTGGGATGCAATAGTATCCCTCCATAGGGAATGGGTTCCCAAAGACTATTCATGCTCTAGGGATAAACACTGGCTCTGCTGTTATAGGTCTCATAGACTGTCTTGGCCTCCTAGCTGGCACCCACATTCTGAGGGCTTGGTTCAGTCCAATACTGGTTCCCCATATTTATAACTGGGGTCTCAGTGCTCTCACTAGGTCAGGTCAGCTATTTCTACCACTTTCTCCAGCACCATCCTGGCTCCTTTGCTTATCCCTCCTCCCTCTCTGCAACTGGATTCCAGGAGTATGGCTCAGTGTTAAGCTGTGGGTGCCTGTTTCTACTTCGATCAGCTACTGGATGAAGGTTCTAGGAATGGTAACCAAGGTAGTCATCAATCTCATTATAGGGGAAGGGCATCAAAGGCAGCCTCTCCACCACTGCCTAGATTCTTAGTTGGGGACATCCCTGCGGATCCCCTAACATTACCCCTGTGCCAGACCTCTCTCCCAACCTGTACTGTCTCTATGAAGGCATCTCCTTTCTTGCCTCTCTCTATTCCTCTCCTGTCTCAGTCCTCCTGTTCACCTCTTCCCTCCCCTTCTACCCCTCTCCCCTTCCCAACTATTTCCTCTCTCCCCCCATGCTCTTAATTTTCTCAGGGGTACTTGTCCCCTCCTCTTATTTGAGGGACCATGCAATCTTCTCTTGGGGTCCTCCCTGTTTCCTAGCTCCTCTGACTGTGTGATTGTAGGCTGGTAATCATTGGCTCTATGTCTAAAATCCATATATGAGTGAGTACATACCATGTTTGTCTTTTTGTGACTGGGTTACCTCACTCAGGATGGTCTCTCCTAATTCTACTCATTTGTCTTTGAATTTCAACATTCCATTGTTTTTTTCTGCTGAGCAAGATGGTACCTCAGAATTGTTTTGATTTGCATTTCTCTGATGGCTAGGGATGTTGAACACTTTCTTAAGTGTCTTTTAGCCATTTTTAGATTTCTCTGTTGAGAATTCTCTATTTAGTTCTACACCCCACTTCTTAATTGCATTGTTTGGTGTTTTGGTGGCTAGCTTCTTGAGTTCATTGTATATTTTGGAAATCAGCCCTCTGTCAGATGTGGAATTGGAGAAGACCTTTTCCCATTCTGTGGGCTGCCATTTTGTCTTGCTTACTATGTCCTTTGCCTTACAGAAACATCTCATTTTCAGGAGGTACCATTTATTAATTGTTGATCTCAATGTCTGCGCTACTAGTGTTATGTTTGGGAAGCAGTCTCCTGAACCAATCCATTCAAGGGTACCTCCCAGTTTTTCTTCTAAGAGGTTAAGTGTGGCTGGATTTATGTTGAGGTCTTTGATCCATTTGGACTT